CCCGTCAGGGTGGAGAACTTCATCTTGAGATGGTAAATCGAAGTGACTGCTTTGAAGTTTCTCAATAGAGGTCACCCTAGGATGCCATTGAAAGCGGACGGGTAGCCCATTATTAAGAACTCAGTGATCTTGGTCACCTCGTAAAACAAAAACAATTTCAGTTAAAAAAAACAATTCAAATTAAATTATCGAAATCAATCAAAATAACGAACCTTGGTCTAAGTCAACATCCACCATTGGAATCTTACAACTGATCATCGATGTAAGTATAAATCAATTGTTACTTTGAGCATTCACCGTTGGAACTATTTTCCTATCTCTCCTTAGTTGTAATTAATTAGGAAACAAGCGATCTAATTAACCTTACTACTAAACAACCCTAGACAAGCGCTAAAGGTTTAATCTAGTAGCAGCCTTAAGGGCTAGAGAAATTGATGAAGCTGAACAACACAAACACAAGCGGTTGTATTTAATTTAGTTGAATGTTCTTCTTAAGATTTAATGATTCCTGACGCAGCAAATTCTTGAACCTTAATTACTTACAAGTTAGATGGATCAAACAATTACGGATTTGATATTTAACTTAGCAGTAGATTGCAATGAATAATACACGAGTAGGTCTCCTAGTAATTAAATGAAACAATCATGAAAATAGGCATAGAAGAACATCCAATACTCAAAACATAAATTGAACACTAAAAAAAAAAAAAACAGATTAGATCTCACAATTTTATTGATTCTGAGGCCTCCGTTTCCTTCGACCAAGATATGAAAGTTTTAGCCACTCATGGCCATAATCAAAACTCAAAAAGAGAAAAAATTCTAGAAGAGAGAAAGAGAGGCGTGTGTCCCCTCCTAATCTGATCTCTCTCCCCTCTTAAAGATATCCAATTCAAGTATTTGAATTCTACTAAATCTCCTAAAAATATCCTAATATCCTAAAATAACATTTATCCTAATCTGATTCTGATTAATTGAAAATAAAATAAAGTCCTAAAATAAAATAGGAAAGTGGTGTGTCCAGGTGTAACTTGCGTGCAACACGTCTTCAAATCTTTCAATAATAAACTGCCTATTTGAATTGCATGACAAGGCGGAATGTTCCAGAACGTCAGCAGTGCAGGTGTGTCAAATTCAAGCCCGATTACAACCTTGATGCAGCAAGTATCTCTGCAAACTCAAAACATGAAAGTTGTAGATCTCTTTCTTATGGTTCCACAGTATATTGAATCATCTCAATCAGAGCTCAGATGAGAGAGTTATTCCCAGATTATGAAGTGATGTCAAAATTGTCTGAATTCACCTAATTAGTTCCGTTTTGCATTTAACGCCTCCATTTGCATCCTAAATCAAAAATAGAATAATAATGAGTACATTTAGGAAACAAATAAGTATAAAATACTAGACATTAAGGGGGGTAAATATGACATTTTGCATTCTTATCAGCTAGTTTCCAAACGGACAACGATGATTATTGATCACAATCAGGGTTTGTATTTTGTCTCAATGGGGGTGTAGTGAGCTGGAAGAGCTCCAAGAAAAGCACTGTAGCAGATTCTACAATGGAGGCTAAGTATATTGCATTGTCAGATGCGGCCAAGGAGACAGTCTGGATTTAGAAGTTCATTACTAAACTTGGTGTGGTTCCCACGATTGTTGATCCTATAGACATCTATTGTGACAACAATGGAGCAATTGCTCAAGCCAGGGAACCACGGTCTCATCAGAATTCCATACACATTCTCAGACTATTCCATCTCATCAGAGAGATAGTTGAGAGGAAAGACGTGCAGATTAGTAAAGTGCATACTGACGACAATCTCGCAGATCCACTGAAACCATATAGGGGGATGGAGGCAGGCTTCAGGTTGGCCTCATCCAATTTCATTCTTTTGAAAGCCTGCTGGAACAGGATGTTCACAGTGCTTCTGTTATCCACTAAAATTATGTGGATGTCACAACGCCCTATCTGGGGTGTGATGACGAGAGCATCATCATGGGGATGATGCAATCAGACTGCTTCTTTTTTCGAGAAGGTGATTTCCTCCTCCTTACGAACCTTTGACGGTCGCGGCGTCATGTTCATTACACGGATAGGGTCGTAATGGGCCACGCGAGCATACCTCTCTTGGGCACCTCGCAAAGTCCCTCCGAGGTGTGGTCCCCCAAAGATTATCCCTACGCTATAAATACCTTTACGACCATGACACTTCTTACCTGGTTCCTCCTGATTTTTCTCTTGCACGGGAGCAGAGTCATCAACATACTCTTTGAAATGCCCTTGCTTAATGAGGTCTTCAATTGCTTGCTTAAGGGCCCGGCACTCATTAGTGTGATGCCCGTTATCCCTATGATAGCGACGGTACTTCTTACTATTTCTGGCCGAAGAGGGATTTTTCATAGGCTTAGGCTCCCCGAGTAGGCCAGTCTCTTCTAACTTATCAAGAATAGCAAAGACTGATGCATTCAAAGGAGTGTACTGACTCTTGTCGCGATCGCGACGAGGAACTGGGGCATAGGATTTCTTGGGCTCATATCGTTGCTTATTTCCTCTTCACTGATCGTCATTAGCCCATCTGTGATCAGCCATCCTATTTTCCACCCGACCAGGTGCACTGCCCGAAGGGTCGGGGTCGGGGTCATGGCGGTTGAGTGCCGCCACGGAGTTCTCAATACAGAGGTATTTCTCCGTAAGGCTGTAGAAGCGGGTAAGGGAAACATCGTCCTAAGATTGCAGCTCTTTCCACAAATCTGTATGTGGACGAACTCTCGCGATGATGAGAGTCCGAATAGACTCTTCTGGAGTGTGAGCTACCTTATGGAGCTCCCGATGGAACCTGTCAATATAAGATTGGAGGGGCTCATCCCTCTCTTGCCTTATGTTGCTGAGGTAGCTCAAAGGCATTGAGAACTTCATGTTCGCTTGGAAGTGTCTCAGGAATGTCGAGCTCATCTGAGGCCACGAACTGACGGATCCTGCTGGGATCAACCTGAACCATCGCTTGGCATGAGAAGTCAGAGTTACTGTCAAGAAACGATATTTTGCCACAAGTCAGAGACTTGGTAGAGTTCCATGAGGTCGTTGAACTCGTATAGATGATCCTGTGGATCGGAATTCCCATCGAATGCTCACATATCGGGCATTCTAAATCTTAACAGGAGAGGGGCGGCTAACACTGCCGGAGAAAAGGGAACTGCCTCTACGACCTGCCCTTGCTCATTTAGTTGAGCCTTTAACTGATTTAAGGCTCGCTGTAGTTCCTCAATCTGAGGTAGCGAAGCCATCTGAGGATTACTTTTCGCAACGCGGTTCGACCCTCATGGTTGCGGTTAAGGAAAGACCGTAGGTCGGATTCCTCCTCGCCTCGGTTGGTAGTCCCAACTGCTCTTGACACACGCTGGCTAGAGTCGTGTGATGGCGCTGAATGGTCTGGGGAACCTTCCTGACCTCCGCGGTGGTGCGAACCGACCCGCAGACGGTGGGAACTTCCCGCACCACGGCGATCGAAGTCGTCATTCTGACGATAATGAGAATCTCCCTGCCTTGCACTTTTGTGGGAGTGCTCACGCGACGTGGCACGGGATAGCTCGGGGCGTAACATGTCACCGAGTCTTTGCGCCATGAGGGTGCGATCGGTGTTCACTAGTCCCTTGGAGCCTCTAGGCCTGCTGTTTGCCACTTGCTTTCCCTTTCTTTGACGCGCTGCAGTGCGCGCGGCATGGACTATTGCCCTTTTCCGCGCTTTCATGCGACCTGCAGGCGTTTTTGGCGATGGCACCGCCTCATTCGATTCAAGTGGCATGACCCGATCTAACCGGTCCAGCCTTTGGCTGACTGTTTGGAGAGTATTGTTGAACCTCTCCAAGTAGCTCATGACGGCTGGGTCAAGCCTCGAGCTTGAAAGGGTATCCCCCATGGTATTTTGCGGGACTAAAGGCACTTTGGGAGAAGTGTCCTCTTGTACCTAGGGGATCTCTTCGTCACCATGATTGGTTCGCTAAGATTCAAATCGGCGAGCCATTTGCTGTAGTGAGACTAATTAGTCAGAGATTTTCCTGATGAAGAAGAAGTATTAAATCAGGCCCTCCTTCTAGCGTCAAACTGTTGATACTTGATTTTGACACCAACTAATCGCACGTGGGAAATGCTGAGTTGACTCAGAAGACACACATGTATATTGGGGGTATTGAATTGATTAAGAGGAGAAAAACAATGTTTAAAGTGGTTCGGATGCTTAAATAAGCGAATCCTACGTCCACTGATATTATATTAATTTATGAGATCATGTCGCGTTCAGCGAGATGATTTATAGCTTAGAGAATACAAGTGAATACACCAGAGAGAGAGAATGTATGCTATTTCAAAGAAAAATTAGCTAATCCCACAAACGGAAAAGGAGCCCTCTATTTATAGTGGGATGAATTGAAGTAATGATTACTAAATCTATGAGTGGGTCAGATTGCCATGCAAATCCTTCTTTGTGTCCCGTTGCTCACCTGCTTGAGTGATTTCCTCGACTTGTGCAGAGATTGGACAAGTGGACCTTTTCTAGCCTTTCGCCAATCTGGCGTATACCCACTATACTGGCAGGAGCATGCCGCTAACGTCAGCATGCAACATGGTTGTGTCTGAACGGTTACAGAATCTACCTAAGCTCTGACCACTCACGCTAACAAGGCTTGACGTCAATCCTACTTTTTCAGGCATAACATATATATTTCATAAAAAATTAAGAAAAATTCAAAACTTGCCTCTTGGGATGAACGCGCTTTTGACGTAAAAACAACAAAATAGCAATAAACAACTTATTTCTCTCCTGAAGTGTTCCTAGACTATGGTCCCTATACAAAGTTCCAACAAACTTACAAAACAAGTATAACCGTCATAAGCGGTACTTTGCGGAATCCTTTAAATATCCAATTCTACATTTTTCGCCCAATCATATTTTCATTTTCTTTTTGTGTTTGATACTCCTCTTAAAGATATACTCATATCTGACATGGAAAACCGCGAGAATTCAAGTTCATTAGCAATGGGAAAGAGCGCGCAGGAGATGGGCTTGCCATATGTACCGGAGTGCTACAAAATTCCATCTTCACATCGTCCAATTTTGACACCTGAGACCGTTGATATGCCTGTTATTAATTTTGCTAGGTTGAGGCAGAGTGAGGAACAACGATCAATGGTCATCAAAGAACTTGGAAATGCTTGTCGTCACATGGGTTTCTTTCAAGTAATTTAGTGGCTTTATTAATCCTCTATATTGTGTTATCTTTTAATTAGCATTGTATAGTGATACATTGTGTGTTAACGAATTTTCATACAGATTGTGAATCATGGAATTTGCCAATATATACTAGATGAAGCGCTTTCTTCGGCATTTGATTTTTTTAAGTTACCAGCAGAAGAGAAAGTGAAATTCATGTCTAACGATGTGTACAAGCCAGTCAGGTATGGCACAAGCTTGAAGGATAGAATTGACAAAATCCAGTTCTGGAGGGTCTTCCTTAAGCATTATGCACATCCTCTTGATGACTGGATTGATTCATGGCCCCAGAATCCTCCTAATTATAGGTATGTTATACTAATTCTTAACTTAATTATTCTCTCAAATTTCAACTATTAACCAGTTAAGCACATCTTGTTCATTCGTTCTCCAGATATTCTTAGGATATTTTTGGGCATCTTTCTTCTATTCTGCTTCGTCTCTGGTTCACACTTAATTTGGCGGCAGAAACTGTCGATCCCTTTTTTCACACAAAATTCAGAGGAAGCACCTACACTGCATTTAATATATCACGTTGTTAACATAAGCAATGACATGAGTCGTGAAATTTTTTTATTCCAAAATGCATTTACTAATCATACGCAATGACATGACCTTGGTCCAGAAAAATATGTATGCCAAGTCCAGTGATTTGAAACTCATGCAAATCGCATGTGCTGACACGAGAGAAATTGGGATAAGCTGATTCTTCAATTCCCTTTCTCACTTGTCACATTACAAAGTGCATGAAAAAAGAAAAATATTGGCATGTTGACTTGACTTGGTCACCTTTTTCAAACTTTGTTTCAGGGCATTATTGCGTAGAAGTGAGGAAATTAGCCTTGGAATTAATGGGTGCAATTACTGAGAGCCTCGGAATTGTTCCAACCTATTTAGCCAAAAAAATCAATGAAGGAATGCAAGTAATGACAGTCAATTGTTATCCACCGTGCCCACAACCAGATATCGCACTAGGTTTGCCACCGCATTCGGATTATAGCTGCTTCACCATTCTTCTTCAGAGCTCGCCGGGTCTCCAAATTTTGGACTCAAAAAATGGCAAATGGAAATCGGTTCCCGAAGTTCATGGTGCCCTAGAAGTCCATATTGGAGACCATATTGAAGTGCTAAGCAAGGGCATTTACAAGAGTGTTGTGCATAGGGCGACTCTGAATAGTAAAAGGACTAGAATATCGCTTGCTAGTTTACATAGTTTGGAGTTGGAAGAGAAAATAGAAACGGCTAAAGAGCTAGTGGATGAACAAAATCCGAAGAGATATAAAGAAAGTAGCGTCAAGGATTTTCTGAATTTTATCTCCAAGAATGACATTGGCGAGGGGAAAAGTTTCATGGATACACTGAAGATGAAGAATTAAATAATAACTAATCATATGCTTGATCTGAGTCTCTGTTATTTCCTTCTCTATTTCCGCTCAAGAGTTCTATGGATACATGCAACATATATATATATATTTGTGTGGTTTTATCGAGAGAATGGGAACAAAGCAGCATCTAATGAGAGTCCAAACGTNCCCAATTTTATTTCCACAAATCTTCAAAGTTTTATGTTGTAAATTTTTTATAATTCTGGGGTACCAAAACCAATCATCTGTAGCTGTGTTTCTCCAGCCAGCATTTGCAAGTCATGAAGTTATTCAAGTAGCAATTTGGTTGGGTCAAAGTATTGGCTTACAGCATCGCTCAACCCCAAAAAAACAAATAAAAAAATCTCAGCTGCAAACTTCTCTAAGCCAGAGTCAGACAGGAGTACCATATTTGACTAATTGACACAAAATCCAATTGTATTAGCAATTTAAAGGCAAAATTTCATTCATCTCTCCTAAAATTTGACCTGATCAGAATTGCACTGTTTTGGCTTAGATGAAAGACACATAAACTAGGGAAGGTTACCACAATATCAAAGAATTTTCGGAACTTAAATGCTTTGCATGTACTTTTAGCAAACTGAAACAACTAAAATATGAAATTTTCCAAGATTTGGTGAGAGAAAGAGAGCTTACAAGTGGGTAATATGGCAGGTTGAATTATTGTTATAGCTACAGTTACAAACGATGGAAACAGCGTGGTCTTCCCATTTAGTTCCATTGACGGCAGTTCCAGTACATGGCTCTCCACTTATGTTCCATAATCCCGGTGGTGCGAGTACACCCCATTTTTGAAATATTGAATTCAATGCCTTCATTGTCCACAACACCAAACCAAACCAATAAATACTTTCAGAACCAGTTGATAGCAATGCACACAAACTTAAATATTAACAACGCAAATTCATTAAAGCTATAAATTTCAAATCTAACATTCAATGTTAAAAGATACTATGTATATTCTAAAACTGATTAAAAAAGAATTGAAGCTACAAAATATTCAGAACATCCCCTCCCGTCGAACCCCACCCATTTTGCCCACCTGCAGCAGCCGCACTCCCACCCGTTGCCACCACCTTCAGCCGTCGTAGACCCACCCATTCCCCCCATCTTCCAGTCGTAGCACACCGTTCCGGCAACCACACGCCGTCCCACCCGTCGCAACCTACCCATCCAATCCGTCACACCCCTCACAGAGCTACCGCCACGAGCCGAGCGGACCAAATGGCAGAGAATCTTATAGATTCTTTCTCTTATCCTTCAAATTTATATTTGGAGGTCCTAAGATCTATATTGAAGATCTTAGGACCTCCAAATATAAAATATCTATATTGAAGATTTTAGGACCTTCAAACATATTGAATTAGAAGGTTATATTATTATCTCCAGAATGATCAAATTTACGGTTTGCTTTCGGTTGTCGGGTCACACAAATATATATAACAATTTATTTAAAACTTTCAACAATAAAAAAGACGTCATATATCATCTCCTTCCTAATTAACCAGTTATGGTAACTAAATATCTTCAATCAAAAAGCACTTTTGAGAATTACTTTCTACTAAGTTTTTTTTTTTTTTTTGATAAAAGAAAAGAGTAAGTGAATGTACCTTCAATAGGATCAGTAGTGACAGTTTGAGCAGTTGATTCTTGTAAGATGAAGAAAACAATGAAGCAAATGCAGAATAAATGAGCGAAAGATGAAGAAGAAGAAGAAGAAGGAAGCGGCTTCAGTTTGAAATTCATCTTTATTAGCAGAGGAGGAGGAAGTCTGGCAGTGACACTAGTTATTTATAATTTTATATTCACATGCAAGACGGGGTGAACTAGTTATTTTAAGAAGTTTTGGGGTAAATCGGAATTTTCTGAGGTGTTTAATAAAATATCATGTTTGACCAAGGTCTAGTCATCATATAACTATATAAAGACAAAAATACCCCTCTCTTGCTAACAGGGATTATATGAAGTTTTTACGCATAGTGGGTGCGTTTGTATGTTTATATGGGTTTATTTCATAGGGTTTTTGTTTGATTTTATGTATAAAAATGATGTATTTTGATTAAATTATTTTTTAAACTATATTAACAACTAAAAAATAAAAAAAATTTGTTTGATTTATGGATAAGCATGATGATGTTATAATACAATATGAAACAAACATTCTAGATTGAATATATAGTTAAATGCATCGATCCTTTTAAAGTTTGATGTAATAACAAAAAAAAAATTCTGAGGTTTTTGAAACAATAAAACTCTTTATGCCATTGAAATTAGTTAAAATTTATACTATATGAGTTAATAAATATTTACTCTTTTCAATCTTTTATATTATTGAATCAAGTCTTAGGGGATTAATATTTAGTATCATTAACTTTCGATTATTATCGAATTTTCACAATAAATATATAAACATTTCACTTAAAAAGTATATATTCTCTTATGATCTAGTGCATTTTCTCCAACTAAAATAGGGGTATTTTCGTCTTTATACGATATAATCTTTTTGTCTCATTAAAACTGGAGCCCAACTTGAGCATTAGCGCCAAAATCAATAAACAGAATGAGATTAGACTAATTATTAATTTTAGTCAACAAGTAATTTTTTATTTAATTAACTAATTACATGTTGGCAGTATGCACGAAACCCTCCCTAAGTATAGAATACCAAACCCAATTCTTGTCGTAAGACTAATAATATAAACAAAACTATAAGCCAAGTTGCTTTCATTTTTTTTTTTTTTTTTTTGTAATTATATGTTTTCGGTTTTTTAATTTAAAAGAATATAATCAATTGTTTAATGAGAGAAAGACTTAATCCACTTTGAGGTTTTGGTCCAATTTTCAAATATTAGGAAATGCCTCCTAAAATTAACTACCTAACTACTCTTAATCAAATTCCAATTCCAAAACAACATTTTTTTTTGTCCAGGGATGAGTAAATTATAAGTGAGTTGCCTATTTTGCCCTTATATGTATGACTGAATTACTCTTTCTACACTTACATGAGTTCACACTTGTTAGAATCATGGGGTCCATCCTAGTCGTTTAAACAATAAGATTTGAACAATAGTAAGCCCAACACTAGGGGATAAATAATTGTATTATTTGCCAAGGACTTTCTTTTGGTTGTGTATGTAAAACTTACGTTACATTACATTACGTTACTCATGTAACGTAAATAACCTTTTGATTTTCATTAGTTTTAAAGTTGATGGTCCACATTTGTTGTTTAGTTTTCAAATGCTTCAATTTTCAAACGTTTGGGATTTATGACAGCCATTAAGCATGCCATTAAAAGTTCGATGAAAACTTGGCTATGTATATTATTTTGGTCCCTAAGCTCAAGAACTCGAATATACAAAATTATACACCATCAATATTAGAGTATCTTGAGAGCTTAGAAGAGCTAAAATACAGCTCCGTGAGTTTGTTTCAATGGCTTGGAGATAATTCTTGATTCTTGGTTTATAGTTTAAGAATATTATATTCTTTGTATTTCTATTTAGATTACAGATAAATTTCTTACAGTTGGTATCAGAGCACTATAATACCTCTGCCTTGATGTTTTGCAAAAGAATTTTTTGAAGCTCTCTGTTCATGGCCGTTTGAATTTTTTTTTTAAATCAAAGTTTGTTTTTAGATTTTTTTTAACGAAAATAAATGTTATAAATCATTAGGAAATTGGATTTCTATCATTTCTGGGCTTTAAAACAATTATTTTGGAGTTTAAATAGTGAATTTCCACCCGGGTTTGGCTATTGGGTCGTTTTCGGGTCAGCTATCCAATTACAGATCTGCTCAAAGGTTGAAGACGACTAGAGATGACATGTCATTTTTCCTTCAGTTTTAAAACCGACATGTCGTTTGCTTGTCAATTAAAAAAAAAAAAAAAAGAATTTCAGATATGGCACTTTGGGACTTGAACCCATGATCTCATGTAAAAAGATGTGATATTGGGCTGACAGGCCACGTACGTTTTTGTCATGTAATTGGTAAAATAGAATTTATACTATTTCTAATTTTGCTCATTTTAATTATGCCTATTATATTAATTTTGGTTTAATTATATGCATTTTTTGGATAAGTTAAATTGTGCAGAATCCTAAATTAATTGTGCTTATATTTATCTTTCATGAATTGATTATATATGGATAAAGGCATAATATTAAATGTTATGCATAATATTATAGTTTTCATTATGCAATATTTTTATGCTTATGAGAATATTTTGTGCATAATATAACATATTAGTATTTGATTATGTAATTCGTAATATTAAGCTAGTCTTTATGGGATTTAATATCTAGTGTCTAGTGATCCATATAATTTTAATTAATTAGTGAATAGCCACAGCATCTTTAATTAAATAAAATTATATATTATGATTAATTAGGATCACATAAAGAATATTAGACATTAATTGTAATTAATTATACTTAATATAATAAATTTTTTCCCACAGGAATTTTTATTATATTTATATTATTAATTAGGATAAAATATCAAGTTATTCATATTTTACCCACAGGAATTATGAATTTAGTAAATAATTTGATAGTTTTATTATAAAGTTTAATCATAAAGAATAAATGAATCTGTTTGAATTAGAAATTTAGCCCATAGCCAATTTTTATGTCATTAGATTCAATTTTTAAGCATGATTTACATTAGTAAAGTATGATATTTTGTTTAGGCCTCAATTTTAACATAAGCATGTAATCTATAATTTTGTGCAGTCGTACAACCTGCAAATTTCTCTGATATTCGTTTTGATATCCCTGAACTTAAGGGAGATAACTATAAGGTCTGGAAGGAAAGAGTTCTTCTTAATTTGGGGTTGATGGACATAGACTATGCTATTAGGAAAGACAAACCACCAGCACTCACTGATACTAGCACTATAACGGACATCACGCTTTATGAACGATGGGAACGATCTAATCGTCTCAGCGTGATGTTCATTAAGACTAGAATCTCTGCTAGTATTCGTG